GGCTGCCCAGGGAAGTGGTGGAGTCCCCATCCCTGGAGGTATTTAAAAGACGTGTAGACGAGGCGCTTAGGGACGTGGTTGAGTGGGCATGGTGGTGTTGGGTTGACGGTTGGACTCGATGATCTTAGAGGTCTTTTCCAACCTTAATGATTCTATGATTCTATGATTCTATACCAAAGTAAAAGTTAAGACAAAAGGGCTGAGCCTATCCCTGATCTGATCTCTTACAAAAAGGAGTGGGCATTTTATGAATATCCACTCTGAGTACAAATGAACTTAGAATTTAAGCAAGAACTGATATATTTGATTTATATATACAGTGTAGAGAACTATCCCTAATTATTTAAGAGCTCTTTGCATCTTTCAAGGACTCCTGCCCCCTTTTACTATCCAATATGGATCATGCTGAAAGTAAATTCCTCTATTAAATGTCAGCATCTCCAATAAATGCATTAACATCTTAGCCAAGCAGATTGTTCCAATATATTTTGAAATGGTTGGTACATTTTATATGTAGCAAAGGTCTTTAGAGATGCCTGTTTGTCTTGGTTTCCTGTTAGTTTGGTAAGGTCTGAAGCACTAGGCTTCATCACAGGCCAAGACTGTCAGACAGGATGAACTTCCGATGAACATTGACCACTGAGACTAATAATACCTGATTATAGTGAATGTTTCTCCCGCATGGACACTCACAATTCTTCACACAACAGACACTGAGAATATTCACAGCTGCTTTTGTCCCTCCCTGTAAACTGATGAAGCCCCCACCAAAATGCAAATGAAAATGCTGCCTTCATCATAGCACCGAGGTCTCATCTTTTCTGCTTCCAGCTTTATTAACAGAAAGATTGTTCGAAAAAAACCCCAATCACATCAACAACCACAACACCAAAGCAAATTAACTCACAGGGCAAGAACTTAGGCTCAGCTGTTGCTGGCTTTCCTTCTCTCAGAACTTTCTCCCAAATATTTGAAGTCTAACAGTCCACATCTGCCTCCAGCAGGCAGCAGGAGATTCTGGCAGGTCCCAGTCTCTGCTGTGAATCTGGGGCAGCAAGACATTCCTGCTCATTTGTCAAGTCCAGTTTGAAGTTCAGCTAAAGATTTTTGTGTTACGAGGGTTTCACAACCCCTTTCTGCAGAATGCAATGTAGATGAAACATTTGAATTAGTAAAAGGATATTGCAGAGTTTGCAATGCAAAATTAGACCAGATAAAATTGCAGAGGGAGCATTTTTAAGAGAAAGAGAAATAAGCGTCACATTGGTGTTAGAGTCCTCACAGAGAGAAAGTTAGAAGTGGAGCTCTGTGACTTCAGGGGTCTTTGGAAAATGGCAACTTATTCCTTGGAGAATGCAGCAATGAACCAGCTGGTAGGGAGGGGTGATGCCAGATGCTGCAACGTCTGCATTGAGGTAGGAGGGGAGCAGATGAAGGGAACGTGTTCCAGTATAATAGTCAGCTAGAGGAATATTACTTCAGGAAATAAAAACATAAGAAGAAAAAAATGCAGTGGTCCAGCATACTGGAAACTGGAGGTTAATGCAGAGCTCTATTGTCTCCCAAAGACAGAGACAATTTTCTCGTAATGAGAATTTTATTATTGTTGCCCATCTCCATGACACAGGAGGATCATGGCTCTGGGATCTCAGAGAGACAAAGTTACAGCCAGACAACCATTGCCCCAGAGAGTGACAGAGGAGAGAGGTTTGTCATGCTGGTGGCAGGGTTTCCTTGGAGGATGTAGAGGGGAAAGAAAAAAAATGCTTTGAAGATGCTGTACACAATCATTTAAGTTTCAAGCTGGGACTGACGTAAATCTCACACTGAGAATGAAGGATGACAGAGTTGCTGTGGGACTAGCAGCCAGCAATGGACCACCCCATGAAGACAGTTTTTCACTTACACATTAACTTCACAATATGCAGTTTTTAGTCCTGTTGATGTTGATGCATCCTTATGTTTCTAGCAGCTGCCTATGCACAGTATATATTACGGTAGAGGAATAACAAATCAGAGAATGCTTTCTCATGAGACTAAGCTAAGCAAGATGCCTGTCTAGTGGTAGCCAGCTTCTTTCTTTACTAATAAATTCAAACCATTATATCTCCTTCATTCTAGGACTGACTCCAACACTCAGTCAGCCTCTGCCTTACAGAAGAGCTGACAGTTAGACCAATTTTAAAGCATGCAAATCTCCTAGTCTGGACTGCATCTTTCCCAGAAGAAGCAGAACTGAGCTTAGAAAACAAAATAATATACCCTGAAACCACTAGTTTTAAGAGGAGCTTGTCACTAGACAGGTATCTGATAAAGGAGTGTTTTAAACCACTTCTCCCTGGCATCCTTTCCACCTATGACTCTTGACCTGAAAATCAGCTCACAGGAGCACTGTAATCACAGAAGCAAGAATATCAAGCCCTGACCCCTCTTTCTGGCAAACGCAACTGAAGGGAAAGCTGAGACCATGGTTTGCTGGGGTAGAAGCAGCAATACAGAAAGCATTCATTTCCTTAGCAACTAGGACCACCTCTTCTTTAATTAGCACATCATGGTCTGAACTTTGCTAATAAAACCTGCCTACACTGCATGATAACCATGGGTTAGGTAATCTTGCGCTTGCCAACATACGGCAGCCTACCACGCTTCTGCGTCCTGACATTCTCCACACTAGCACTCTGTTCTCAGGTCCCACATCTGCAGGCATGCTGTGGGTGGTGGCAATGGATGATACATCCTTGCAGTTTCTCACCCTGGACTCATGATCCTGTATCCCATCATACATTTCTCTGGGCTGGCAGGCACAGGGTGCTGTGGAGCAGCTTCTCTGTGCTCTCTTGGGATTTGGGAGGTTACTGTCTATGCCAAAGGAACTAGTTTCCTGGCATTAGCTTAGCAAATACGGTAGAGGAATAAGAGAGCTACCTCACTGCCCAAGCAGCCCCCCTTGGCCTGTCCTCCCTGATTACTACTCTGTGCCACCTTCTTCTGGAGCTTCTTCCCTAGCAGTGTCACTGACGACTGATAGACTTGCGTAAGAAATCACCAAGATGCAGTGACACCAGCAATTACAGAATACACTCTTCTAGAAGATATGTCATATGGGTTTGTAGTGCAGTTGTGCTCTGTTTCTGCCCCAATATTACAGAGAAAAAAAATAATTAAATAAAAACCTGGTCAATAAAAACTAAGTAGCTGGATGAAAACAAGTTTTGAGAAAAAATAAAAATGAAGGTTTACTAAACCATTGTCATAGCTCTAACTACGGCTCATGTAGACCCACTGAAGCTTCTATCAGCGTAGCAATAGTAGCACTAAGTTTAGAGCAGACAGTAAAACTGGTCTGAGATACAACATGCTCAAATATTTATTCTGGGCTGAGTTCTGTACTGCCATGGGTATTGGAGAGGTAGAGTGCAAAGTTAGCATGGGTATGCCTGTATGAAATCCTACCAGTGGAGAAAATCATGTTCTGAAACAACAGAACTCGCTATGTGGGAGAAATAGTGCATTCAAAAGAGGAGAAAACTAAATTTTGATTTTTAAAAATGCATTATTTAATAACAATATGAACTAAGGAAGCAAATTCTTCTTTTTCTTTTTCTGTTTTAATGAATTAATCCTGGGGATTAGAGAAAGAACACAAGATCACATGCTGTGTTTGGAAAGCCTGCTCAGCAGAACAGTGGATGAGGCTGTGAGTACTTGTGGGATCACCTTCAGTATGCTTTTACCTACAGTTTACATAAAAGTATATGTCAGGAGGTTTCTTAATTACAAGATTTACATGTTAGAAATGTCAAAGGAGAGTGTTTCACAATGATGATTTCTGAAGGTATCTGGTTTGGGTTTGGGTTTTGGATTTTTTAACGTTGAACAACTATGAACTGAAAGAGAAAGCTGCTGCCATCCTACAAGAAGCGAGATAACCTATTCAAGATACCAGATACCGCTTGTAAATATACTCTCTGAGAACCAAGAAATCCACCTCAGGATCAGTAAATTCTCTGAGTGCACATACATGCTGTACAGTATCATGCACACATAAAATATCAAGCCTATGTTCTCAAATGAGGATAATACTTGGAATACTAGCAACAAGGTGCTTTTCTTCTGTGTTTGAAAATTTCAGACTTTCAACAGATCATTGCCCCAACAGAATCAGCGATTCAGAGAAGTGAAGTGCTGTGATCAAAGACGTACACCGTGCTTCTGAAGAGGAATTCAGGAAATGCCACTTCAGCTAGTATAAAGAACTGTCACCTCTTCGCTCTGGTTATGTGCATCCCTAAATTAGCCATTAGATAATTCTGCCACTTCGCTGAACTTTTGCACATTCTGCATTGAAGGGATTTATTCTTCCTTGTCCAGGAAGAAAGGCTTAAGTGGTAGTTATGGAAATAAAAGAGAGGATAAAGCTCCCATGCAAATCTTATGTTTTGTGTATTTTCTTATTTGACTATAAAAGTGATATTCCTAAAGGTGTGGAGTCAGGGATATTTTAAAACTGCTGATAAGCATCATCCCACTGCTAGCTTAATTGAATACTAGTGATTTACCCATTACAAAAGACAGTTTGTTCCATCACAAAATCTTTTCCTAGTGTATGAAGGCATATCAGGAGAGTGTAATATCAACTGCATGAACTACTTCTATAAAATAGAAATAGTGACGTTGACTTCCTCTTGTGTTTTGAGATCTACTGATGAAAATTGCAGTAGGGGCAGGTAATTTCATTATTACTCTAAAAGCCTGTTGCTCCTCTCTGCGCTGGCAGATACTCCTCTCAACCAATTAAGATATGAGATTAAAAGGATGCTATCAATTTACAATATTTTTCCTTTAGCTGGAATAGTAATAACACCTTGGAAACCACACAAGAAAATTGCTTTCCAAATGAAATCTGACATTCTTGAGCACTACCATTTGTTTTCATGCACTGATCCCTCTACCTGTGGAGAGATCTTGCTGACAGTTTCTGCTGCTCTCCTGCCCCAGGATACTGATGATGATACTACATTAAACATCTCCTTGGAAGCCAGCAAGCCTCTATTGCTTCTGTAAGCATCTCCGGCAAGCAGAGCTGTCTCTTCTGTTCCTGTGCAATGGAAGCACAGGGGTATATCTCTTGCTTATCGCATCTTTTGTTTTGTAACTGAGGACTTAGCCATCAAGAGAACATGCTTCCCCAGGTTCAGTTTAAGCCTGTTTCTTTCACATCCTGCATGTGATAGTCACCTCCAGGTGGGCCTCCATGGAAAGCCTTCTGTCAGCCCGCACACTCCAGAGCAGTGGCAGGATTAACACACACAGAAAAGTTGAGGTACTTGGTATATAATTGGAGTCCTGGCTGCTCTGACATAGAATTTTGGAGATCTCTTGTAAACTTTGATGGGATTTTAGAGCTGTGACTAAGACATGGGAATCTAGCATCTTGTTCATTAAAATCTGGAATTTCTGCAGTATTTTGCCTTCCAGAGATACTTGCCTTTGGAATAGGAGGGCCTTCCCATATGGTGATGACCTGTGGGAGGGTAGAAGAAAGGCAGAGGTATTTGCTGTGAAGTTTTTCTTCTCACTGTTTCTGTTGTGGAGAGATAGTCAGGAGAGGGTTTTCAGAGCTCTCCTTATTCTCTAAGTCTCTCTTGTCCTTTCTGAAAAATCTTAAATATGTCAGCCCTCCAGACCTGAGGAATTTTGGGTCACTAATGCCTGGGTTAGGGTGCTCAAGAAGATTCAGGAAAGCATTTTATTATGTTTGCTCACCAAAAGACACATCTTTGAGGGAAAAAAAAGCTAAAAATAAATAAGTGTTTTCGATTAAAAATACTTTTAAAACAGTAAACTTAGGTGTGAGGGCTCCTGTCAGCAATTTGCTTTGCACATAAATAGTGAATGGGCTAAAACAGGTAACTTTCAATAAGCTCACATATTTTCTAGTGTATTATCCGCACTCTTTACTGAACAGTGGGCAGAACTAAAGATGATCGCATGTGTGTTAAAGTTCTCTGTCACTGGTAGTTTACACAGGTTTTCCATTAGCTCGAATAGATGGCATCTGACTTGCTGGAGAAGGAGCGCTGTGTATTCAATTCTGATTTGCCATTATCATAAAACACTCTCTAGTGACAATGTATAGCATGTGATAAACTGGTGAAGCAATGTTAAGAAAAAAAATATCAGTGCTATGATTTGTTGACATATTTAAAACTCATCCCTGAAATGGATTCCTTTGACTGAAGGAGTAACTGTACAATGGCCACAACTCTTGCCAGAAACCTCTTGTTTGCCCAAGTGGAAACCGAAGTCCCCAAAACCTTGCTTTATATTCACCCACAGCACAGTGTGAGCAGAAGCCCCTCTGTTTCACACCATCAGGGCACACATATTTGGCCAGTCAAGGGGACCGTTGGGTTCAGCATTCTTAATCGCTTTATAATTGGATTATTTGTTGGGCCCCTTTTTGTGCATTTATCAGCAAAGTCCAGATCAAAAGAGGTCAAGCAAAGCCTCCCCAAACTTGCCACTGCCCTTTCCACAATTGAGATCACTCCTTTAAACTTTAGAAGACTAACATTTTTCTTTATGGCATCTGTGGACTGGGGAAACATTTACTTCAGATGAAATGTATTTCCATAAGACTGACAGAGGGCCCCTATAGGCTTGCTTGCCTTATGGGAGCAGGGCAAGAGGAAATGCCAAGGGCAAGTCTCTCTCAGACATGCAGTCTTGTTTCTTTTTGATCCAGTGTGTGTTTTTTTTTTTTTTTTATTCTTCCCTTAAGCAATGAATTGAGCTCCTGCAGCAGAGGAAGGATTGTTGACTTACAGAGTACACACATAGTGGAAAGGTTACTTCAATCAGAGGGAAAAAGAAAAAAAGGAAGAGGAAATGCTCCCCAAGTTGTGTGTGTGCATCTAGAAAAGGAAGCTTTTCTACTCATAAACAGATGTGTCAAAAGAGAGCTCCTTTAAGGCACCTCCAGCAATCCTTCTAGATGACTTTTCTTATTGTTTTTAGCAGTAACATGAGCACACTTGAGAACCCCACTCCTAGATCACAACCCCATTTTGTTAGCAATTGTACAAATAATCCCACACTGCCCCCTAGTAGAGGATCTTACAGCTCTTCAGGACAGTACACAGAGCAATTACCAGGCCAAAAAATTGTTTCTAGTTTACAAAGAGGATCACACAATAAGTATATTCCTTGGCTGGACACAGAAAAAGAAGCTATCGACCCCTCACTGAAGGTTTTTTTTTTTTTTTAAACTTATGAAGAAGGTTCCTCCCTGTTATCTCCAAAAATGCTTGTGAAAATGCAGCATGAGGATGAAGGGTTGATCTTAATTCCCCAATATGAATATGAACTGTCCTTCTGCCTCTGGGGAGAGCTCAAGTGGGAAAAGTCACAGAGAAAGTAGACGTCTCTGGTAATTACTTCTGTGGATGAGAAAGAGTGTAATAAAAGCAGGCCATTAATGGACTTCAGTAGTGTTCGCGGTCAAAGTACACGAGCCTTGTATCAGCCAGAAGTTGGGAGAGCTAAAGCAATTTCACCAGCTGTGTGATCTTTCTATGACTGGAGCAAGAGGTTTATGGGTGGGAGCTTGGTTCTGACAACACAGCCTCGCTTGTAAAGCCTTCATGTACACAAGAGTACACAAAAGTTTGACGTCCCTCCAAGAGCAAGGACAATGAAAGCCATTAGTATGAACCCTCTGATTCAAGCACATGTACCTTAGGACATGACAAAGGAACAACCACATCCTGGATGAAATCAGTTCTTTTCAATGTTTCTGAAGGGTGCAGAGGAGCTGTGGGGGGTTTTCCAAAAGGGGAAACAATAAAATAAAGTTTTTCAGTTAGTTCTTAAAATAACTAGGGCTAAAATATTCCATACCAACCCTGACAACTTATGTCTGACTTGCTGTCCTTTGAGACAGCCAACCACAGCACTATTTTTTAAATTCCAGCAAGGAATTCAAAACTGCCCAAAGAGTCCTCAAGCCATAACGAAATGCTCATGTGGTCTGGATATAACTTTGTGCTCAAGCCTGTGTGTATAATCAGTGCATGCACAATCACCTTTATTTATTGGTATCTGAGTTTTCCAAGACAAATTCAGCCTCTTGCTCACAAAATTCCTTCTTCTCAGAGACTGCACACCCATTGCTTTTCACATAATAGAGGTAATTTATTTCCCTGTTGCATCACTTTGAAAATGTGGCTGTTTCTGGGATGCTATTGAGCCAAATAGTTTAGATATCTGGCCAAGAGTAAGTCTGTAAAGTTGGAGCAAGTAAGAGTTCAATTCAGTGCCAGTTCCCCAAATAGCTGTATTGTGCAAGTTCCTCTAGTGCTTTCTCTATATGAGGCAACACCTTCTCTTCATTTGTCCTTGGACCTTTTAGTTGTATATCATTTTGCTAGTGCTTTGTAACATGCTAAAGGTACGTTGGCGTATTTCATCTGTGATTTTGCACCAGGCCACGAAGCAGCCCTTTACGTGAAATCAGCCTGTGGCTGCACAGAGGTAAGCAAAGTTTACAGTCTCTATACTGCATAGAGCTGTTGCTTGAAATCTCCATCCACAGATATAGTGAAAACTTGACTGGACAAGGCCTTGAAAAACGTGATCTAAATTTGAAGTGAGTTTAGAGGAAGAGGGTTGGACCAGACAACCTACTGAGATCCCTTCCAATCTAAACTGTGCTGCGATTTTTCCCAAGCCAGGCATGACAATGAGCATGATGCAAAGTAGAATTAAAAGCAGACTGCTTTGATTCATTAGAACTAGGGTAGAGATGGCCAGGCCACCAAAGAATGTCACCCCAGCTCACTCGCACAAATGTTTGATGAGAGGTGGAGTGCTGCGGAGTGGGGACACTGTCCTCTGTGACTGCTGATCTCAGCTCTTGGGCGAACAGCGGTCACCTACATTCAGCCAGACAATAGTGTCTCCTTCCTGTAGATTTCAAAGTGTCCTCAGTCCCACCTCAGGTGCTGAAAGGAGTCGTAGTTCCCTGCTCATGATGGACCCTAAGTGTACACAAGAAAGGCTTGTCTTTGTGAAAGAAGTCTTTTGACTGTAGGGCTTGTCTTACTTTCTAAAATCAATGTTGCTGTCCCACCAAACTGCCAATATAACAGAGTTTAGGACTGCTGTCAGAAAAACCATCAGCAGCAAGACTCTTTCCCTTTTCTAAGCAACATAGCTATGCTAGCAAACTCCAAAGGTGGCTCTGATTCTTGTTACTTGTTGGAGAATCTTACCGGCGGTGCTCTAACTTGAGGAAATTAGAGCAGCCCCCAGAAACTCTGCTGCAGTTTCAACAAGAGTCCAGAGCAGTATAGACACGACGGGTATGATTCACTTCTCCAGATTAATCTTGTCTTAGTGTAGGTGTCTAAAATAGGTC